TTGGTATTTTCAGCGTATAAAAAACATTCATAAGTAGAAGAGTCCATTGGGATAGGTTAAAAAAGACATGTTACACTGCAAAATCATCTAATCTTCTTGAAGTTGAAACTGTCTTTGATGCAGCCAGCCACTGGTGGTTTTGTGAGTTACTCAGACTCTTTTTGCTTTTTGGAAGCAGACCCTTCTTCCTTATTCTTCTTCAGCTTACCCTCTCTACGCTCTCTCTTCACTCCCTTGGATTTATCCGGCAATGGTTTTTTGCCAATCTGCACACAAAGATAAAAAAAAAATTTAGGTTGGGAATCACATTATGTCATTTCATGTGCTTTTTTTTATTTACCTCCTGCTCAGGAATAAAAATTCTCCCTCTTTTCCCTAGTACATCATCTTGATCAACATTCTTGAGCTGTAGAAGGAACAAAGAATGAATCCTTGGTCATCTGTTTCTATCAAATTTAACAAAAAGCTACCAAAATGTATTTACCTTCTTCTTGGGCTTATCTTTGGATGATTTCATAGCTTCTTTCCTTAGGCCATCGTTGGGAAGACGATTACGACGGATAACCAAGTCCATGGATGGACCTACTTCAACAAGCTCTATTCTAGGTACAATGGTCCCTGACTTTTTCAGCTTAATTGCACAGTGTGTAAGGAAAACCTTAGTTGGTGATATCGCTGTACATATGTAAGCACGGTCTAATCCAGTAAGATTTAGATTCTCCACAACCTGCAAACAAAACAATTCAACTTCTTTCAGGTTCTATGATAAGCAAAATACACAATCAAACGTTTGACAACAACAATATGTATTAAAGGGGAAAAAAAATAGATCACCTCGCCTCGGAAGAGATCAGTGAGGACTTCTTTAAGCTGCTTGAGCTCTGGCACATTTTCAAAACCTTCCCCAGTGAAGCAAATGAAAGGCTTTGATCCTTCATGAGGTGCTATTTTCTTGTCATAGGAAAAAGATAGCAGAGATTTGAAGTTCTCAATCCCAACTTCTATAAGATCATAGACATGGTGATCATACATTCTCCCGAGCACAAGATTGTCAGGGCGTTTCTTTGTGTGAGAGCCGTACTGCAACATAACATCCACCAAACCAATGTTAGGATTCACTATAACGAATGTAAGCTTGCTGGTACATTTCCATATGGATCCTTTTGAGTACGAGATAAAGTCAGCTAATAATAAATAAAGCTTATATCTTCTACCAGTAACCCATAAGAACATATAAAAAGACAAACAAACCAGTAGAAGGATGGCCAAATAAACCAAGATCACAGGATATATCACCATAACATATACACTGAGATCATCTTACATAAACAGATCTCAACAGTTACAGCCAGGAAACAAAGATCAAATCGTTTCAAATTGATTATGTTAAGAACACATAAAAATTAATAACAAACATGTCTACAACACTCAAGAAACTATGCAAAATGTTGAATATTTTTGCTATTCATACAGAGACAAGATGACCATCTGACAGAATCAAAATCTTATGCAGAGATACTCAATAGTTGCCACCACAAAACTAAGCTCACACAGCTGCCAAAGCATTTCAAATTACACTCAATTAAGAACAGATAAAAGCTTACCGCGAAAATGCTACAATCAGTTTTTTGAGAGAAGAACTCCAAAGAGGTTTCACCACCACTCTCAAAGGGTCTAATATTCTCATTCCTCCTCGAGTACTTAATGGCGCCTCCCTTCTTCAAACGGTACAGCTCCATCAACACAGCGCTAAGCGTAGCGCTTGTCTTTGTTCCATGAAGTATCAATGTCTTCTTCCCATTCTCAACCTACACAAACCCAATCAAAAAACAAAGTTAATAACTTTCAATCGATTCTTCACAAATTCTCCATAGATAGCAATACAAAAATCAAAATCCACATGAATCAATTCTCTTGTGTAAACGATTAAGTTTTTGTTCTTTGTCAGAGAAACAAACGTATAGGAAGGAGATTGGAGAAAACTTACAAGCTTAGGAGCTCGCTTTTCGAGTACACGTTTGGCTTTGTGAGTCTTGGGAGTTCGTATTTCCATCATGACTGATAAATTTCCGCCGACTTCCACAAAAGCGACGGCTCTGAGAAAGGAGAGAGGAAGGAAGACGAAGCAGAGGTTTTTCGATAAATAGTAGACTCTAGGGTTTTAAGTTCAAGCAACTTTAAATTAATTGTAATATAACCCCTATGTCATTATTTTTGTTCCAATTCAGTCCAAATATTATTTTTTGTATGAGACCCAAACGTTTTCAGTGGGTGGTACGATGGGTTTAAACTTTAAATAAAGAATTGACGGCCCATGAAACTTATAGCCATTAATTTTTGAACATAGTATATGATAACTTTTGGTGTAAGTATTATGAATTTAGTTGCAGCACACACTCTCTTCTCTCTGTTTGAAGCTTATCTATATGTTTGTTACTTTTATCTGGCAAGAGTATTCCGTATTATTTTATTTTGAGTTTGCTTCCCATCTTTTACGAAGTACTATACAGTCAGTGGCGGACCTACATCGATGGGTGGCACTTGCAACCCCTTAAATTTGAATAAATATGGTTTTGTCCATAGAAACAATAAAAAATCAGTATTTCTCCTGGTAATGTACAGCATCTGATCCTCCTAAACTAGTGTTCAAAGCCCCGTAAAGACTCATTTTACTTGTTTTTCCTTTTTATCTTTTTATGTACATAGTTGGCAGAAAACTGATTAAATCTTATATATTAAAATAGAAGTCACAACTTGACTTCATGTGTGATTTTTTTAAAAATGGACTATTACTAGAAAGTCATGTTACATTAACTCTCTAATAATATTATCATTATTATATTTTATGAAAAATAATATCTATAATAACAAAGATACGCTTAACAATTTGTTTTTGGTAAATTACTCTACACCTTCCAACTTAGTCACGCAAAATATGTCAATAGATAGAAGTTTAGGAGTCTTCTATTATTTATAAGGAAATATGTCAATAATAGTTAAATGCATCCACAATATATTAACAAAAATCACAGATTCGTAATATGGAATATTTATATACCCTAACAAAATTTACACGTTATATATACTAGATAAATTTATTTCGATGTAAATTTTTAAAATTATATTGTTTTAAAAACAATTGTGTAAAAATTCTTTTTTAATAAAATTATTTATAATATTAATTTATGAAGCTATAAGTTTAGTTTTAGCAAATATTTTTTCCAAGTTTATATTATCATTGCAAATTAAAGTATATTAATATTTAATGAAGCTCTATTTATATTACTTCATCTAAAAATGAAATATTAATCTAACAAACAATAAAATATACAAGAAGAAACAAACACATGTTTGAAAAACATGTATAATATAGAAAATACGAAACAATCTATTTGATTAAAATACATATTATATAATATTATTATGCCTGAAAAACATTTACTATACCTATCGTAAATATGTGCTTATTATAATATATACCAATTTACAAGTGAAAACAAAATATTTATATAACTAACTATAAATGAAACAAACACCCGCGCGGTTGCGCGGGTCAAAATCTAGTGTATTGCTTAAACCATTAATAACGTTAAACAAATCATAAGATAATAAGAACATATGTTATTACTTGGCTTTCATCTTAAGAATGCAAATTAGAGACAAAATAGTATCAGTTAAAAAATCCCCAGAAAATATTTATTTTGTATTTCTATAATTAGTTGTAGATATGTCTCATGGTAGTAGTGGCAGATGTGTAACCACCATCAATAACCAGGTTATGTCCGGTAATGAATCTTGACGATTCTTCGCTTGCAAGAAACAAAGCTGCTTGAGCCACATCCTCTACAGTACCAGCCCTTCCTGTCAGTAAACTTCCGTTCTCAGCCACAGTCTTTGTGACTTCAGCCGCATCGATTTTGTCATTGTGAAGATACGTACGATACGCGTTGACCAAAATCTCAGTGGGAACTCCATGAGGAGAGATGCTGTTCACACGGATGCCGTGAGAGCCGAGTTCACATGCCGTTGTCTTCACCAGCCCGTTGATGGCTCCTTTTGAAAGCGTATAAGCGTGACCTCCAAGTCCTCCCATTACTCCTGATGAGCTTGATGTGCATATTATCGACCCTCCTCCTCCTCCTTTGTGTTTTTAGATGCATCAAAACTATATTTAGTTGTCTCATAATTTAAATTAGGCTACCGTTTAACACATATGTAGAAAACTAAAAACATTAATCAGTAAAACAAAAACAAGTGACTTGGAAGACTCAAAAAGAAAACCTATTTACTTGACCTCAAACACTTAATTTTGAATTTTTGTGACAAATGACAAAAAATAAATGTAATCTATTGACATAGGTAACAAAAGTTTATTTGATTAGACACCAGACCAGAACAATCACCTTTGATCATGGCCTTAGCGGCATGTTTGATGCCAAGCAAGACACCATTCACATTGACTGAAACAAGTTTGTTTACCATCTTAATGTCCATCTCCATGATGCTACCTTCGTTCACAGCCATTCCAGCATTGTTGAACATCACATCCAGCCTCCCTTTACGTCTCATGGCTAGCTCCACTGCCGCCTCCACATCAGCCTCCTTGGATACATCACAATGCACGTAGCACCCACCTATGGAATCTGCCATATGGACGCCTTCTTCATCCAATATATCCGCGACTATGACATATGCACCATTCTCTGTAAACAGCTTAGCCGTGGCAGCTCCGATCCCTCTTGCTCCTCCGGTTATTATGGCTACCTTCTTGTCTAATCTTTTGGTTGAGTTCGCCATTACAGTTTTTTACTAGATGTTTGATATTCGACTTTGCTTTTTATATCACTTCATTTTATGTTTCTTGTTTTCGACATGCTCTTTAACTTAACACTCAACTACTTTTATTTCTTTTACTTGTTAGTTAGTTCGCTCATCTTCTTTGCGTTAATGCAAGTTTGATGAATATAAGAAAATCAATAGAGAGAAAATTGATTATATAACACAACGTTACAATGTACAAGGAAATTTTGTAATAACAAGAGATGAATATTAACTCGTTCTTGGTTTTCTATATACTCATCTCTATCTTATCTTTGACAAAGTATACAACACAGCAACGCATACATATCCAGTATATGAAAATGTATGGTTGTGTTATAAATAAAATAATTCACTACATTTAGACTTTTTATTTTATTTTTGCTTTTTAGTTTTACCGTATTGACTATGACATTCATGAAAAAGTGGAGCTTTACAGAGGCGTTTCCATGATTTTTGATTGGGAGGTGAAGGAGAAACAACAAAACAATCATATGATGGCTTCTAGTGAGATTTACAAATTTCCTCCAAAAGGTACGATCTTGGTGGGGGTCTTCACGCTTGACAATGTGCAATCGGTTCTTGATCCCCTATTATAGAGAGAGAAGGAAGATGTAAGTAAGACTTATTTTCATCCTACTAGTTCTGGTCACTCAAATCCTCATTTGCGCACCAGAGATGCAAAGTAAAGAACCTCTAATTAAAGATTCACCACAGACATTGCAAGCACAGAAGACCCCACAAGATATCATAGACAGTCATAGAGCATATGAGTTGAGAAATAGAGAGAAAAGACATACCTTGCAAAGACTTTTCGAGATCTTGTAATTGCTTGATGAAACCTGCGTTAGGACAAGCCACGGGTCTAATGCTCTTAACATGTTCCAATGCTTGGTTTAAACTCATTCCGTGTTTCTTCATGAGGTAAGCAACAACTATAGTAACACTGCAATGACCAAAACATTCAGTAAACAGAGCGCCATTAAACCAAACAAGCTATGTTCCAAACTGAATATACCAAAGTAATTCAAGCACATGAAAGAAACAAAAACCTGCGTGATTTTCCAACGAAGCAATGGACAAGAACGCTACCACCTAGCTTCTTAGCTTCATCAATGAAATCAACACACTCATCGAAGAATATCTCCAAATTCGTGTCTTCCTTATCCACAACTATTCACACACACAAGCAAAAGCAATGCATTTCATCTCAAAAGGGCATGAAAACATATGGAAAGATAGCAAGGCGAAACCTTTATACCTCTGACAAGCTTGTAGACGAAATCATCAGGGTGGGCAGGTGTCAAGGAGCTAGCAACGGTTAAGATGTGAGTAACGTTGGAGGATTTCAAGAAGGTCTTGTTGCAAGCAGCCGCAAAGGATCCAAGATAAAGACCCTGAAAAGATAAACAAATCAATTGGTTCAAGAAAAAAGAAAGAAACTTGCACATAAGGATTAAACTAGGGTGTTGGAACCTCTTGGATAAGGGAAGGGACATTGTCTTCTCTATAGACACGCGCGACTTTGATAAGACGAACAAGGTCTTGTATCCGATTCTTCACATTCGTTTCATAATACTGATCCATTTCTCTTGAAGAAGAAGACGAAGATGATCCCCTGTCTCTAGAATTCCTGAAAAATGGAAATGGAATTGAATAATCAAGGGCTTCCTCAATTCGATTCACATGATGAAATGAAAATCTAGGTTAGTGGAATTGGGTACGACATGATTCGAAACCGGAATAATTGCATTTTCAGGTGAGAATCTAAAATCAAAGTGTTGCAACTATGATCATTTGAGATAAGCGATTAAAAGAGATGGATTCGATAACATAGAAAGAAGATCTCACATTGAAAACAGAAGGAAGGGATTAGCCAAGGAGGAGGAGGAGAAGACGAAAACGAATCGGAGAAAATGGTGACGGAGAATGGATTACTAAAGGGGAAGTTGGGAAGTGCATGGTTCTCCAGCTTTTTTGGGGGCAAAGGAGGAAGGAGAGCGGACGATGCCGTCCAGAGGGGCTGAAAGTGTAAAATGTTCTTCTTCAAGGACCAAATATTTCAATTATTTATCAAAGTCCATTCTTTTTTTCATTTTCAAAAGTTATTATTAGTTTTTCTCTTTTTTTTTTTTTTTTTCTTTCACTGAAAATATTCATTCATCGAAAACAACCATTAATACAAACTAGAACCCAAGGAATAGGCAAGTGAAGCCAAAGAAACCGGCAACTAAAGCCCACACAAGACAACTTACATGATCAAAGAACGATAACACATACATTACTATAAAGAAAATTTCAAACCCTCCATGATAATAGTACACTAAGCTTGCAACCCTCCATGATAATAGTACACTAAGCTTGCAATAGCCTTTCAACGAGATTTATCATTGTCGCCCTCGGCCCACTGAACGATAACATCAACTTCTACAACACCAAGAGCACACGTCTCTAAACCAACGAAATCAGATTTTATAACCTGACAAGATAGATCCACTCTAAAATCACATTCTCTTTCGGATATGGTAGCGACACAACTTCATTGCGTCCTAGCTACGCCTCAAAAAAAGGCTTACAAAGATCACCCCAATCTCAACAGATTTAGAGTTCAATGAGGTCAACCCGTCAACAACCACCGAACACACAATAGGAGACTGGCAGCTACATACAGGAAAGCGTTCACACCATCAAGAACCAAAAAAACACTACAAGCCTATGACCAAAAACCACCAGAGAGTCCACTAATTTTCCGAGAGAAATAACAGACAAAAGACTATCTAGACAACATGAACATCACATAACTAAAAATAACACCCGATCTACTTGCCGGAAAAGAAGCCGGAACAAAGCCCACAACCATCAAACATGAGATCCACATGACTCGCTTAACCACCCCACCCAAAACGACCCGATTCAGACAAAGAACCAAGGATGAGTTTTCACGCGCTTCACGCGCCTACATGAATCGAAGCATACGATTCGGATAGATCTGAGCCCTTCGGATAGGAAGCCACTGGTAGGGTTGAGAGAGTCACTGTTGCATCATCACCTCTTCAGATCTGGGATCCAAACACCTACATCGAACTGGAGCTCAAACGCTGGCCCATTGCTTCATTTTTGAGAAATTCTCTTGGATAGTTTTTTTAGTTTATTTTCACAAAATAGCTCTCAAAGTGAAAAATGACTAAAATAAATTTTTATTAAAAGGTAAATATGCCCTTATAACTTTTGATTAACTATTCCAGACTTAAGGTTTAGTGTTAAGGGGTGGGATTTTGGGTTTAAGGTTTCAAATTTTATAAATAAAAAATAAATTTACAAATTTCAAAATAAAAAGAGGCTATTTTGGTCATTTTATTTTGAAGACTATTTTTGTGAAAAAAACTTAAAAAGACTATTTTAAAGAATTGCCCTTCATTTTTTTACGGCAAATATTTGATTTTATTCATTAAAGAAAAATGCCCTTAAATAAACTAGGTAAATATTCACCGAATAAAGTTTATAAAAGACAATAAACACTTTAAATATTATGTAACTTCATTACTGATCGATTCATTTTTATTCACTTACATACTTTTTTGAATGAATGTTGAATTTTTTTGAATAAATTTTTTTGTTATAATATATGTAATTATAAACTGAACGAGTTTGGAAATTGTTGAAACAAAAATTCAGGAAAATAAAAAATATCTACTTATTACTGTGATGCAAACTAGAGTATCATAGCTTGGTCATATCTTCGTGAAGTCTGTCTTGAGGCAGACTGATTTCTGATATCAATGAGATTTGCAACAAGAGTTGAAGCACGAGAGGGGTCCTCATGCCGTCTGTCAATTCTTTCACGCCACAGCAAGCTCAATGCAGCTTGAAAAGCAGAACATATCAAAAATAGTGGTACAGTCGAATGCATGATCTGTTAAACATTTTAAATTATCCCGCTAGCCACTAGAATACCGAGATCCCAGTAGATTACCGGTGAGGTTCTTCCATATTTCCTCCGAGTAACATCAGCTGAAGAACAAGTGGCTTCGTGTTTCAAGCTGAGAGTCACATAGAACACAATCTGCGTTAGCATTGGCGTTCCATCACAGCAAAAGCTCAGCCGTAGATAGTCTGCTGTGGACTGCAACCCAAGTAATAAAAGAAAACTTACATGTTTGTAAATGAAACCATACTCCTTTAGCCCAATCAATTTTTAGACCCACATCTCTTATAGTTTACAAGTGTGATGGGAGCTGAATTTTGATTTAAAAACATCACTCGGCTCCCTCCATAAAGACTCATCATCCTCTTGGATAAGTCCCACTGTTCTGAGTTTCATAAACTCGTTAGCAATAAGGACCAAGTATAGAGATAATGATATCATTATATGAAATACTTTAGGATAATGACTATAAGTTATATGTAGTTATCCACTTGTTTCATTTTCCTGCTTAGCTTAGCCATTATACCTAGTATATATACGACTTCTTGTGAATCAATATAACACACGCTTTCTATTCATTACATGGTACAAAAGTACTAACAATCTCTTGAGACGTAAATACACTTTCCGCAAAAAAATTGTTTTCTACACGTGGTTGATTCTATCAATCATGGATTCTACTAATTCTACGTCTTCTACTACGTCTCCTTCGCTTACTTCTACACATCTTGAAACACCTTATTATCTTCATCCTTCCGATAATCCAGGTTCCTTAATAACACATGTGATTCTCAAAAGAGATGATTATTCAGAATGGGCTACTAAATTCTGGAATTCTCTTCAAGCGAAACAAAAGATAGGGTTTTTTTTGTGGTACAATTAAAAAACCATTAGAGAACCCTGACTTATCTCACTAGATTGCAGCTAACTCCATGATCGTCGGCTGGATACGGACGTCGATCGATCCGCAAGTACGTTGTACCGTGAGTCACGCTTCAGACGCATATCAACTCTGGGAGTCACTCAAACGCAGGTTCTCCATTAAAAACGGGGTACGCAAGCATCTCATCCAGAACGAGATCACCAACTGCACACAAAACGGACAAACTGTATTGGATTACTATGGTCGTTTATCTAAACTTTGGGAGGAGATGCAAAGTTTTCAAATAACTCTATCTTGTACCTATGATGCTTCTTCAATTTTTGAAAACGAAAAGAAGATGCAAAGGTACATAAATTTTTATTCGGTCTTGATGAGTCGTGGTTCTCAGCCATTCGATCTCAAATCATCGACGAAGAACCTCTCCCAGACCTAAACTTAGCCTATTCGCGAGTCATTAGAGCAGAACAATACCTTCACACTGTTGGGCCCGAATTTAGCCCGTTAGCTGAATTAATGGGCCAAATAGTAAGAACCGTTTGCGAAGCCTTATGAGCCCATTAAGAAGCCTCCCCTCAAATGAGGACCACATGAAACCGTAACCTATCGGTGAAAACAGGTCGCGAACAAAAGACTCGGGACCTCACTTTCAAAACAGTTAGCAAGAAACAGCTCCGGA